GGCACTTTCATTCACTTCACAGTACAGCACAAATGCCGAGTTGAAGTAGTGTCGTTGGGCTAACACACCGTCGCCACTGACGGACACCTTTCGACTGACACTACCGAGCAAGCTGGTGAGGAGGATGATGATGGTGATGAAAGCAGTGAGCAGTGAGAATGAAATGAAATCAGTCTGATCGGAGTGAGTGAGTGAGTAAATGGAGGCAGCAACGGTGAATGAGCACGGCGTGTCTGATCTCTGAGCACGCTGTTGTACGGTTGTGTGCGAGTGTGTGTTCACACCACCACCACCACCAGTGCTTGTACGACACGAGAGTCAAGTGTGTGCTGTGTTGTGTAGTACAAGTACAAGACGACAGAGACAGGAGTTGTGTGAGATATCAATCAAACTTGACTTCGTCTTAGCAGCAGCAGCAGCAACCGAGGAAAGAGAAGAGAAGAGGTGTCGGTAGAGTGAGAGAGCAGATTATGATTTGTTTCTGCCTGTCTGCCAGCCTTATCAGCTGGTCGTGGTTGCGAGAACACCAGTGTCGGCTGCTGCTGCTGGTGCTAAATGCTGCGGTAAATTACCGTTAATAGTTGTTGCTGCTGCTGCAGTTCATGGCAGGTACTGTTTGAGGTGGTAAAGATGATCACCAGATTTTACTCTGGAAAAAAGAGGAGGAAAGGAGCAAGGAACACCACCTGTTGCTCTCCATTTTGCATGTGCTAGCAGCAGCCTTCTTCCTAACTTCTTTTCTGTCATGTATTCAGATCACCGTTATACTTCTTTCCTTCTTTTTCTCTCTGAAGTCTTGCTTACACAATCGATTACAGTACTACTAGAACTACGACGACGACGACGACGGGCGGACCACTGTCTGCGACCATTGTCCGCTGTAGCTGTGTCCATACCTTCGGTAATACCTTCTTTTTTCCCTACTGTCATCATCATTGTTCAGACTCACTCGCACAGGTTTCAATAGCACTACACTACTTTTTGCTTTTTCCAGTGCACCTCTTTTCTTCTCCTCCATCACAGAGCTGTCTACAGCTGAGTTGGCTTTTCTCCTTTTCCTTTTCCTTCTTTCGCTCACAATTAATCGAGCCGATGCTAATCGCGAGCAGTGCTCATATGTGATGGGCTGCTACTAAGCCTGGGCCTGGTGGTGGTGTTGGTGGTTTCCGGGAATGAATAAGCGATGATTTATGGTGCTGATGGTGGTGATGATGATGGTAAATATAGCAGAGCGGTCCAGTGTACATGTACTGGACTGCCTGCTTGCCTTCTCTTTGCTTGCTATATTAGATAGCTTAATTAATTACCGACAGTGCAGCAGACTGTGCTCTGTGCTCACTGCTGCTGCTGCTGACAGGACAATGTTTGACTAATGAGGCGCTAATGGAGGGCGCTTTAGGGGATAATGGACCCGTGGTGAATGGACATTGCAGTCCTGGTGGTGATCAGATGATGAATGGCCTAGGTGATGCTGATCTAATGTCGTGGTGGTGGTGGTGGTGGTGGTAATGCGCATTCATTGAAAGAGGTGAAAGCGATAGGGAAAAGTGGTGAAAACGGCTGTGTGCTAAGTGAAATAAAAGGACCTAAAGTGTGAATAATGTGGCGGGGGTATTGTCGTGTTTTGTGATGTTGCGGAGAATGAGCTTTTTCACTTGTTTCTCTATCAGTGTCTTATCTGCTGTGTTATTCTCCAAACTCATATGTTTTAGCACTTTCATTTTCCCTCTTTCTTTTAGGTCTACTTTCTTTTGTTGCCGTTGTTGTTATCTTTTTATAGTTGTTGTGAGATTATTATTATTATTCATTTCTCTTTCTTTCTCCCCCACCGCTTCCTCCTTCTCCCCCATAGTACGTCAGTAGTCCTCGGAGGCTCATTTCGGTAAATGTCAGCTAGATTAGTGCCGGTGTGCGAGTCAGCGTGAGTGTGTGTGCTCTAGAAATCTAATTTTTGTTTGTTTTTGCCCTTGTTCGGATTAAATGAGTAGTACGACGGCAGTGGAGGCAAACAGACGGAGCTGTACACGCACACACAACCAGGTTGTACGGTTGCTGCTGTACAGGTTTGGGCAAAAGGAGAGGAAAATTAATTTTTGGGTTAATGCTGAGTGGGCTTTAGGGAGAAAGGAAGGAAGGAAAAGTAATGTGAGGGTCAACAGGCTAAATGACGGGGATTTGTAGCCTTTTACTTTTGTTTGTTTATTTGAATTTGCTTCTTCTGACTCTGGTTCCACTACATTCATTTAGACGGTTGGAAACTTAATCAGGAGAAAAAAAGACAGAAAGACTTTGAGACAACTGTTTTATTGTTCTTTGTACAACAGAGGGTGCCAAAGAACAATGGTGGCGGCAATTGCAAATTGCCGCGTTTCCATCGTTTCTTCTCTTGCACCACTACTACTGTCATTAAATTCTTGTATTTCCATTGTACCATTTACTCTGTGTGTAAAAAGTTCTCCTGTCTCATGTCTTTGCATCTGTCGCAGGTGTTTTTGGGTAGCGGTGGTGATGGTGTCACCTGTTCACAAATGCTGGTGGTGCTGATAGGTGCTGACTACTCGTTTACCTTTTGGCAATTACCATTTTGCATTCATCATCCTCAGCGATGATCATTACACACTGGCGAAGAAGGGGAAAGAAAGAGGAGGGGGAATGACGATGTCAGTTTTATTATTTGTGTTGATTTGTTGATTTGAATGCCAGTGAGGTCTTTACTCTCCATCAGCACTCACAGTTTTGCCAGTGGCACTGATCACGATCACGATGGGGCCACTAAGCATCACCACTGTTCACCACCGTTCACCACCACCTAACTGAGCAACTGTTTTGCCAACAAACTCACTGAACGATCATTAATCATAAGAAGAGAGAGAGAGAGAGAGAGAGAGAGTTATGGCACATGCACAACGAGTATAACTAATGGTGGTCAGTCAGTGATGGTGCTGTTGCTGCTATTTGTGCAGAGGAAGCGATAGGAAATGAACCAAATGACTTTATCATCGAATGAGTGGATTGGGCAGGAAGGCTTGCAGTGAGAAAGAGTGGCTAATTAGGAAATGCTGCTGCTGCTGCTGTATAGCGAAGTGCACTTTGGGGGCACATTTCACACACAGGCACACAGGTAATATAGTAGTGCTGCCAGTGCACTACTAATGTGTCCACGAAGTGCAAGTGTGTGTGGGCGAGAGCTGGCAATAGTAGTGGTGCAACTGCAGAATGCGGTGGGCAATTCATTTGAAACCATTAGGAATTTTATTCTTCTTGTGTCCATCATTGAGGCACTTTCAAACACTTGCACTGGCTACACCCTGTGATTAAATTAAAGATGGAAATGAAGTCGAAGGAATATTGGTCTTCCGTTTTCCACCACCACCACCCTTCCAGACTTTAAGACACAGACAGTGGCAATTAGCCGAGGCGTGTGTCCACCTTGGTCTGTCTGTCTGGTTTGATCATCATCATCACCATCATTGGCAGTATTATTACATTAGTGTTGCTAGGCAAGGGTAGTGTATGTGCTTTTGTCCGTCACGTACGATCACTTTCGCTGTCTGTCACAGACACACTTTTTTTCCTCTAAACCTGAGCACCCTGTCTGCTGCATAACCAGTTTAGCCGTAGCCGGAGCAGCAGCAGCCCGAACCAAAGCTCTCCTTTACTGCCCAATTTGTCAGGTGCAAATGATGCTTGGAGAGAAGAGTGAAGGGAAGGGAAAAGAGAGAATGAGGGTCTATGGCTGACTGGTTGGCATGGCCACTGATGCTGGCTGACTCAAGGCTAGCCAGGCAAGGCTGATGATGCAGTGCCGTTTGGGCTGATGCTCAATTCACGGTGTGTGCTGTGCACTGTTTGCTTGGCAACACAAAAATACCCTTCGACGTTGAAGGCAAGAAAGGGAAAGGGAAAGGAGGCTACCAGTGCAATTGATCTCACGGTTGCCGATTCTGATGGCGGTGAGGAATGGCGGCACAAATTCGGATGTGCATCAGCAGCAGCAGCAGCAGTCGATGGACAGTCGATCAGTGCCGTCGCCGCCGTCATATACGCTGATATAGCAGCAACTGTTCGGGCACTACTCTACAGCTGCCTGAGTCGCAGCAGCATCAGCAGCTCTGACTTCTTTCCTTCTTCGCCTCGCTTTAATACTATTTTATAGCTGCTCCCGGTGCTGGTAGTGCTGGCTGGTGCTGGAGTACAGCTGCGGCGCCAAAACCAAGACAGGCACTGTTTAATTGTCGGTCATGGGCGGTGGTGACCGAGTGCGGCGAGAGTGCTCCTGCCGCCGTCGCCGCTGTACTGCGATTTACTCACACACTCGCACACACAACAGTCAAGGTCGTTGGTAGTCGGTGGTGGTAGGAAAGAAATGCAGACAGACCTCCTCAACTGCTACAGCTGCTGCTGCTATTTACAGTGCAGTGCAGTTTTGGCTGGAAACGAAAAATGTGCTTAGCTTTTTTCGGCAAGTAAGCAAGTAAGGCAGCAGCACAGCAGTCAGTCAGTCTGACGGCAGTGGTTGCTCATCTGCTCCTTCGTTGATTTGTTTCTTTCCTTGGACGTCGTCGTCTCCCCTGTCGATTCTCTCTTTCCTTCTGACTCGTTAGCCGCAGTGACAAATGGGCGAATGTGAAATGTGAAATGTGTGTGTGTGTGCTCTGCAGTGCTACACACTGTCTGACTGACTGAGGGTTTGCCTGTGCGAGAGAGAAACAGAAAGTGAGAGTGAAAACGACAGCCACCATCGAACTGTCAGACCACCGTCCAACCAGCCAACCGACTGACTGACTGTCTGCTATCACGGAGAGAAAGACTTGCAGCAACTTGCGACCACCACCACCACGACCATTCCTTCACTTCACTCTCTCTGCTGACGGCGTCCAGACTGATACATCACTGGTGAAACTATTTTCCCTTGGCAGCTTTCTAATTCAATATTTTCTTCCTCTTCACTTGCTGAACTTCCTGTTGCAAACTCAATCCAATTTCCCATCCTAATCATCATGTCCACTAGTACCAGCAAACCCCGTCTGTACTACATGCTGGAGTCGCCGCCCTGTCGCACGGTGATGGCCATCGCCCGACTGATCGGCGTCGAGCTGGAGCTGAAGCGAGTCGACCTCAGCAAGAAGGAGCAGCTCAATGAGGAGTTTGTCAAGGTGAGCTTTTTTGTGTCAATATTTGACAATCTCTCGATCGTTCAATATTTGCATTGTAGTACTTTTCTTCTGTTTCTAAGAATAATAATTCATAATAATTCCCACACGCGATTATTGTTGTCCCCCTTTCACAGGTGAACCCCTTTCATGTGGTGCCCACGCTGGAGGACAGCGACGGCTTTGTGGTGTGGGAGTCGCGGGCCATCGCCGCCTACCTCATTCNGGTGCCCACGCTGGAGGACAGCGACGGCTTTGTGGTGTGGGAGTCGCGGGCCATCGCCGCCTACCTCATTCAATCGAGAGGCGGCAAGGATAATCCAAAGGCTGAAGAGCTCTACCCGTCCGAGCTGAAGAAGCGCATCACCGTCGACAAGTTTCTGCAGTACGACCTGGGCACACTCTACCGAGCTATCTCCGATGTCGTGGTAAGTTGAGCCTCAAAGCTTCAAAATCGAAATCTGATCCTCCTGTTCTGTTTCTATTTCCACCTAACCACCTAACCCTCCCAGTACGGCATCTTCACCACCGGGCAGCTGAACGCCGAGAAGGTGCCCCGACTGGAGGAGGTGCTGAAGACGCTGGAGTCCTACATCAGCGGCTCCGGGGGCCCCTTCCTGACCGGCGACCAGGTGACGCTGGCCGACGTCAGCATCAGCCTCTCGCTGACGATGCTCGACCTGGTGCCGCCGGTGGACCTGGCCGCCAGCTACCCGGCGGTGGCCGCCTGGAACGCCAAAGTGGAGGGCGGCACGCTGAAGGCGGTGAACAAGGACGGCAAGTTCACCGAGGCGCGCGCCAACATGAAGGCATACGCGCAGATGCTCAAGGAGAAGGCGCTCAGCGGTGCTCACTAACGTTTCTCATCAGGGCCCCTTTACCCACCACACTTGCTTCCCAATATCGATATTCCACCGAGCATTACTCTTCTGTTCCATTGTTGTTTACTATTCACTAACCCGCGCTCTTGTTGCAT